CCATGTTATGCATTTTTACTTTCGAAATTCAGTGACATCAGGTCACATATAAATGCATTTTTTTTAAGACAACAGTTCGAACCGAACCCCGTATAAATTTGTTCAATATATATATATATACCCATGTTATAAAAAAAATTAGACTCAATAATTTGATTATTAATATAGTCAAGTCAACACAGAAGGGTGTATGAAATGGAGAGGGGGAGTGCTAGGGTTAAGGTATGTTTTCCGGTAGCCAAGGACAGTGGTAGTGGGACCAAGTGGCAGCTTCCAGGGTATGGCAGGCAGTTTCTAGCGCAGGTAACTACGTATTTCTTCTATGATTTTCCAATAGATCGCTCAGTGAAGGATATGTGGTTTTGCTTTTGGTCATTTGGGAAGGTGGCAGATGTGTTTATTCCAGCGAGGCAAGATCGGAGAGGGCGTCGTTTTGGTTTCGTTCGTATGTCAGAGGTCTCAGATGTTAAGGATATGGAATAGAAATTAAATCAGATTTGGCTTGGATCTTATCATCTCAAGGTGAAATTGGCAGGGAACATGAAAAGAGAGCGGGGGGTGTCAGCGAGGAATCCGAATAGGCAGTTTGAGAAAAAATGGATTAGAAAAGAGAGTAAGGTGGCTCCAGGGATGACTTATGCTCAGGTTGTTGCTGGCAATGTGGGTGCATCCGAGGAAGGGATGTCTTCGAATAATGATGTCAGGCAGGTTGAGATAACAAAAGGGATGGAACTTGTAGTGGATGTGGTTCTGGAGACAATTCCAGAAAGGAGTACTGTGCCATTGACAAGCGAAGGTAGGGTGGAGGAAAGGTCTTCTCCAAAAACTGATTGGGTATTAGAATTCACTCCTAATGATGAGGAAGTAGCATGGTTGAAACGAAGTATGGTGGCGATGGTTCGATCTTTAGATATGGTGAAGAAAATTCAAAACAGGTTGGATGTAGATGGTTTACTGGTAAATGTGGCTTTGCTTGGTGGTCACCATGTCATTTTAGTTGATTATTCAAAAGGATGCCTTGAGGAGTTTATCAGTCATAACAGCGAATTAGTGGAATCGTGGTTCGAATGGATTCAACCAATGTCTTTATCCACGATGTCTCCGGTGAGTAGAATGGTATGGCTTCGATTCATGGGTGTTCCATTAAAGGCATGGAGCGAGAGATGCTTCACAGAATTAGGTGGATTAATTGGAGAGGTGATATTAGTTGATGAGGATATGAGGAGTAAGTCCTTTTAGTGTGAAGGAAGGGTGTTGATCTTAAGTGAGGAAAAGAGTAAGATATCGACCTCAATTGCTCTGAAGGTTGATGGCAAGGCTTTTCCGATAACAGTGCAGGAGGAGGAGTGGAGGATGGACCCGGATTGGTGGTTGGCCGGGGAGTAGCAGAATCCGGTGATAGAATCTGACTCAGAATATTCCGATGATGGATTCAGTGAATCAGCTTTCAATGAAAATGGATTTCCAGGCGAGGATGGGGCAGTGTTAGCCGAAGAACGCACTGCAACGGAAATGGTTTCAAATTTTCTGTTACAAAAAGAAGTAGCTTTAAATGAGGAAGTTTTGGGCGAGAATATGGAATTAAATGGGCTGGAGACATTTGGGCCGAGTGGAGGTAATTTTAATGGGCCACATAAAGGTGGAGAAGTGGAGTAACAATCTGAGGAACGAAGTGTAGAAGATTGGTCCGAAAATGGGCTTGAGGCTCATTATGTGCAGGCAACCCGACCGGACTGGACAGAGAAGAAACACAGAAGCTTGGGAATGATTTATGCAGGGGTTAGTGGGATGGAGAAACCAAGGAAAGCAGGCACCAGCTGGGTCACGGCAAGGACAAAAGCTCACAGAAATAGAAGGGGCACAGATGTGCGAGGGGAGGAATCGCAGATGGAAAGTTGTTCTCTGTCCGATGGGTGCATCCGACATCGAAATGAGGTGATTCGAAAGCAGCTGCAGATGGATGAAGTGAGAGAGCTGTTTGTGATGGGGCAGAATTTGGGGATTCAATGTCAACAAAATGAGGATGAGGTGATCTCTAGGTTGGCGGCTTTAGAGGAGAGGGATGGAGTCACCTTCGGACGTGCCTGATGCGTCGGGACTAGGTTGTTGGAGGTATGTGAGTTTATGGGTTTTATTAATAAAGGTGATTTCTTTTAATGTTAGGGGTTTGGGTAGTGTGATTAAGAGAAAGGAGATTTTTAAATTGGTGAGTAAGGAGAAGCCGAATTTTCTATTTATTCAGGAAACAAAATTAGAGGGAGTTGAGGTTTCTCTGTGTAGAAAGTTGTGGTATTCTGAGGATTTTGACTGGGTTATGCAAAAATCAGTGGGCAATTTGGTAGGTTTGTTGTCTATATGGAATAAGAGCAATTTTGTTAAAGAAAGGGTGATAGAAGGAAATGGTTTTATTGGGATTTCAGGGGAGTGGGGAAAGCAGCGGTTGAAATGTAACCTTGTTAATGTGTATGCTCCATGTGATAGGCAGAGGAAGGCTATGTTGTGGGAGGAGATGGGTAAGTTAGTTCTGGAAGAGGGTGGTAGATGGCTCTTAGTAGGGGATTTTGACGCAGTAAGGAATGGGACAGAGAGGAAGGGGAGACTAGGAGGGACACAGGACATGGGAGATTTTAATCAATTTGTAGAGGGGTGTGGATTAATTGATGTTAGATTGAGGAATAGGAAATTCACATGGTACAGACCCGATGGCTCTTCAATGAGTAGGTTGAATAGGTTTTTGTTATCCACAGAAATGAGTTTATTGGATAGAGATTGGTTTCAAGTTGGGGTTCGAAGATCAATTTCAGATCATTGTGCACTTATTTTGACGTCAAGAAATATGGATTGGGGTCCCAAGCCTTTTCGAGTACTTGACGCATGGCAACAACACCTTGATTTTAAAGGTTTTGTGGAGGATAAATGGAAGACTTTGCAGATTGAAGGATGGGCGGCTTTCCAATGTAAACAGAAGCTGAAATTATTAAAAGATGACTGCAAGGGGTGGAATAGAGGGGTTTTTTGTAATGTGGAGACTCAGTTGGATACAAGGTTAAAGCATATTGAGAGGTTGGATAAAAAAAGTGAGGAAGAGGAGCTGAGCGAAAATGAGGTGCTATTGAGAAAGGAATGCTTTCAGGAGATGTGGGACATTTTCCGAAGGAAAGAAGCTGTGTGGAAGCAAAAATCAAGGAACAATTGGATTCGTTTGGGTGATGCAAATACAGCTTTTTTCCACAGATGTGTGCAGACAAGGAGGGCACATAATGCAATAGATGGTATCTTAGGAGAGGAGGGATGGATTGAGGAACCTGAGTTAAGTAAGGCAGAGGCAATTAAATATTTTAGTAAGTTATTACATAAGGAGCAGTGGAGTCGGCCTGTAATGGAAGGGATCCAATTTCGTAAAATCTCTGTAGCACAAAAGAAGTGGCTAGAAAGACCTTTTTCCATAGAGGAAATTGAAGAGGGTCTTCGAAGTTGTGATGGGTCAAAGGCACTAGGCCCAGATGGATACAACTTCAATTTTATAAAGTTTGCTTGGAACACGTTGAAGGATGATTTTGTGAAGTTTTTGCTGGAATTTCATCAACATGGGAGGTTAGTTAAAGGTCTAAACTCCTCTTTCTTGGCATTAATCCCTAAACAATTGAATCCAGTGCAATTTAAAGAGTATAGGCCCATTTGTCTGATTGGTTGTCTGTATAAATTATTAGCGAAAGTTTTAGCAAATAGGTTGAAGAGGGTAATGGCAGATATTATAAGTGAGTCACAATTAGCTTTTGTTGGGGGTCATCAGTTGGTGGATAGTGTGTTAGTTTTGAATGAGGTAGTAGATGAGGTGAAGAAAAAGAAACAGGAGAGCCTTATATTTAAGGCTGCTTTTGAAAAAGCATATGATTGTGTGGATTGGGATTTTCTTGATTGGATGATGGACAGAATGGGGTTTGGGGTTAAATGGAGAAAGTGGATTCGGGAATGTCTTTCAACAGCCAGGATTTCTATTTTACTAAACAGAAGTCCGACGTCGGAATTTTCAGTCAGCAAAGGTCTTCATCAAGGGGATCCTTTATCCCCTTTTTTGTTTTTATTAGTGGGTGAAGGGTTGTGTGGGCTGGTGAAAAAAGCAGAGTGTGAAGGGTTGTTGAAAGGTCTGGAAATTGGGAGGGGTGGTATGGTGTTGTCATTATTGCAGTTTGTAGATGATACTGTCTTTATGGGAAAAGTGTGTGCAAGGAATTTAAAGGTTGTGAAAGCCATTTTGCACTGGTTTGAATTGATTTCAGGATTAAAGATAAATTTTAGCAAAAGTCATTTGTATGGGTTTAACATTTCAGAATGGTGGTTAAAAGGTGCAGCTGATATTTTGCATTGTGGGATTAGAAGGGTGCCTTTTATCTACCTTGGTTTGTCGGTTGGAGGGAATCCGGGGAGGAAACAGTTTTGGAATTCTGTGCTGGATCGTTTTTGTCATAAGCTTGCCACTTGGAAAAGCCCACTACTGTCTTTTGGAGGCCGAATTACCTTAATTAACTCGGTACTGTCTGCTCTTCCTATTTTTTATTTATCGTTATTTCAAATTCTTAAATGTGTGCTAGTTGAATTGATTAAGATTCAAAGGATTTTTTTGGGGGGGGGGGGTGAAGTCAGAAAAGAAGATTTCTTGGGTTAGTTGGGATTGTATGTGTGTGGAGAAAGGAAGAGGGGACTTAGGAGTAGCTGATTTAGAGAGGAGAAATTTTGCTTTGCTAGGTAAATGATGGTTTAGATTAGGTGATGGAGTGGATGGTTTATGGAAGAGAGTGATTTGGGAGAAATATTATGGGGGGAGGAATGAGGCGGATATAACTTCTTTTGAATCTTTGACGATGTCTCGTGTATGGAAGGATATTGTGAGTGTGGGTAGGGGGTCTGAAAGGTTAGTGGAGATGTTAGTAAAGGGTTTTAAATGGAAGGTTGGTGAGGGAAGATGTGTAGAGTTTTGGAGGGATAAATGGGTGGGAGACAAGTCCTTGAAAGATTTATTTCCGAGGCTGTTTGCGTTATCTACTATTAGGGAGGGATGGTTGAAGGATATGGGCTTTTGGAGGGGTGAGAATTGGGTATGGGATTGTAGATGGCGACGTGGATGTGTAGGGAGGGCTGTTGGTGAGGAGGGACAGTTTAGGAAAATGATTAATGGGGTAAGGTTGAGGATGGAGGAAGCAGATTCTTGGCATTGGATTCATAGTAGTGATGGTACCTATTCTGTAAAGGTAGCTTATGATTTTCTATCACCGAAAGTTTGTGTTCTGGATGAGGAATGGTCTCGGATTATTTGGAGTAAATATGTTCCTTCGAAGTTGAGTGTTTTTGGGTGGAGATTATTTTTGGATAGGTTGGCCACTAAAGAGAATTTGGGTAAGAGAGGGATTGTGTTGATAGGTGGGGATGTTAGTTGTGGGTTTTGTAATGAGGGGGTGGAGAGGTTACATCATATTTTTTGTGAGTGTGAAGGGGTGTGGTTAGTATGGACGAAGGTTTTGGGATGTTGGGGTTTACAAAGTGTTTTGCCAAATGATATATTTGGGTTGGCGGAGTCGGTGGTGTATGGAATAGGTGGGGGTTGTTTGAAGGAGCTGGGAGGCCTTATTTTCTTGGTAACTGCTTGGTTAGTGTGGTACTGGAGGAATATGAACGTGTTTGGACCAGTTTTGCAGTTTGAAGTGAGGTTATTGGAATCTATTCAAGCAAAATCTTTTCTATGGATTAAAAATAAAGAGCCAGGCTGTGTGTTTTCTTACACAGATTGGATTTCAAGGCCTATGGATTGTAAAGAAGCAATAGTTCAACATCGTCAAAATTCAAAGAAATACAAGAAGATGCATAGTTCCTAAATGTATTTAGCTATTGGACAACTGCTTCTTTTGCAATTTTGATTTTTTGTCTTCCGTTGAGTAGTGGTTTAATTGTTTGTATTTTGGGGTGGAGTATTCCTTATACTCCGAGAGCAATATAAAGTCTATTTGATTTTGCTGATCAAAAAAAAAAATATAGTCAAGTCAACAAAGTGCATATGTCAAGTTGTGAGCATGGAATTCTTCATTCACAAGTGACAAGATTACTACTCTTTTCCGATAATTGGAAATATAACAATAATTAAGGAGGTTTATCCTCTCTATATAGACCCTGGCTTCCATACTCGGAAGATCATAGCATCCAAAAGACCAAATTTAAACAACTCTTATAATATCTTTCATCCAAATATTGTATAGGCACTATGACGATTATACTTGCTAATAATATTGTCAATATCCCCTAAAGCAGGTAAGCTCGGCTTAGCTGAGCAGTGCCTTACCATGGAGCAGATAACGAAACTTTTCTTTGCTTGTGATAATGGCGATGGCGTCCTCACCAGGTAAGAAATAAAGAAAGCTTT